GTTTGAATGAGATGTGGTGGAACAATAAAGGTGGTTATGGCCACATAAAATAAAAAAAAAAAAAACCATTATACAGTACTACAGTATTATAAATTGTTATGTACATTTATCGTCATCTCCAAAATTAATATGGTATTAACAAATCGTATAGGCTTATATGAATTGTAATGTACAATCATCATAAGAATAATGGTAAATCATGACATGTACAATACTCAAATAGTAGAATAGCAATAAAACGTGCAGTCGTCATTACATAACAAAATGAGAAAATATTTGATAAATAATATAATATAAAATAGAATACCGGTAAATAGCCTACATTAATACAATAAAAAGTAAAATAAACAAAAGTAAAATGAAGATATTTAAAAAAACAAAATAAAAATCTGGTCCAAAAATTTATTAGAAATAATAAACTTCAGTAAAGCGTTCCTTTAAACCCTGTTTAAAACTTAAAGAATGGCTCTTCAATAGGATAACCTTAATTTTAACATCAATATTCAGAAAAAGGCTTTCGGGAATATTTAAACGCATCAATAGAATGAATAGAATAAAATATTTAAACGCATAAGTAAGGGCTCTAGCGTGATGGAATGCAAGAATTGAATCAACATTAGTCACATCCTTTTTTAAATAATTGTTGGAGAGTAAACACAAACAAAATTAGCAGTAGGAACTATGATCTATGAGATAAACAATAGAAAGCTTCTGTGACATTGGAAGACATCTAGTAAAGAAAATAATAACAATAATTGAAAAGACTTGTTTGCTTAAATAAAGTGCCACTCTGCAATGCACTTTCGTACTGCTGGAACTAAGTTAGCAGAAATGAAAATTTTGGTCAGTTTTCTGCTCTTCCCCCTTCTTTTTTGGCAAGCTGAACCACAGTCGGGTAAGTAGGCCTATATGTGGCTCATGGTGTCACAGTCAATGACATATAGGCATATTATGTACTTTGCATTCTTACCATTGTAATGATAACGTCATATTATTTTATCAGTTATGGTCGAATGTATAGATAGCGTTTACATTTTTTCTGTTTATGCGAATGTGGTTTTGTTACTGGAAGTATATTGGTGAATCAGATACAGTAGCATAGTAAAAATCAGCACCACAGTGACTTAGGCTTTTCTGCTAATTTAGCAGTATTGGGGTATTTATAAACAAAAAATTAAATAGGGAGGGGGTGTGAATTAAGGACGTTTTCAAAATACTTGGCATATGTGTTGGCCGTGACCATTGTTTATGTTTAACTAACATCTGGTCTGACAATATTGAATCGTTAAAATATGTAGTTACTTCATGGCGAAAAAGAAATTAGGCTTTATTGGAAATGTTACAATTACAAACACTGAAACTAGCAAAGCTCATAAACTTTGCAAGTGTTACTGATACGCCTGAATACGTCATAAGGCAAGTTGATAGCTTTTTTTATTTTCTATTTTCTTTCGGATAAGAAAACTGAAAATGTCAAAAGATTAACTCTAATAAACGAATTAGATCATGGTGGGATAAAAGCACCTGACTTTGGATCATAGGCGCAATCACTCAACATTGCTTTGTTAAAGCATCTGCTTAATGAAATGGAAATCTTTAACTAATATGTATTTTAATAAAATTAGGTCCAGAAAATTCCCATTTAAAATATCGATAAATAATATTTATAAATCGATGTTAAAGGTACTGTCTCACCTTAATGATTGTTTATTTCAACATCCTGTAAGCCTATTGTGAGGATATAATGAAATGACTTAGGGGAAACAAAGTAATGACTCAGTATAATGGTGTTTCTTTAATGTATATGAACTGGATTAGATCAGGCGTTAAAATAATCAAATAAATTTTGATCTGTAATAGATTTGTTAACTCATGTGAATTGTTTACAAAGCTAAATTCTAAATTAAACTTTGTTTCAAAACTGTATGTTTGTTTAAGGCCATTCCACATAAATGGAAATACAATATTTTTTAAAGAAATGTAGATAGGCCTACTGATGAGCAAAATAAAACTATCCCTCTTCAAAAGGTGCAATATGAATGTAGCAAACATAGATACGATTGTTTTATGAAAAATTCAGAGCCTTTAAAGTGCAAAACAAAGTGCCAAAACTATATTTTTAATGCAACAATTGACTGGGGATCAACCTGGAAATGGAAGTTTAAATTCATTAAAAAAAAACTTACAACAACTTAATTTTAAAGCTCTGCAAAACACCCTTCCACCCTTTTGTGAGTCAAAACAACTGTGGATTTATATTACTTTTAGGCCTAATAGATTAAGTATGAAATAAGTATGATACAGAATCAACTTTTCAAAACACAATAATTGGGACGTAAGCGCAGAGAGGTCGCATGCGCTAAGTCGACAATTATTATTATTATTATTATTATTATTATTATTATTATTATTATTATTATTATTATTATTATTAAAAATATTGATCATATTTTTTTTTGCAATATATAATGTTTTAAGAAATCTTAAAAAAATTTTCCCTCAATCAATATTCCTTTTAATGCAGAATATAAAATAAGATAGATATATAAATAGAAAGATATTTAAAATGTCTTACATGATGTTTTAATAAGTAATGTTATCTCTTTAAAAAAATGTTACAGTATAGCCTAAATGATATACTAAAATGTCTGGAGCATTTAATGAAGTACAAAAGAAACCAGTAGAGTAGAAAACCACAATTCGTCGGGGAGAAAAACAATTTAAATGTACCGGTATTTTCTACATATTAGAGACCCTATAAAATCGATTAAAAAAGCCTTTGAAATATCTAAATTGTCATATTTTTCTGGCCTGTGTTAATAGATCTATGTATAATTTTCTAATTATCTTCCCAAAAAGAACTGATTATCATTGGTTGCTCTAACCATATATGACATAAATCAGAAATTTATTCCCTCAATGCTTCACCGACTGAGCAGGCTTAATGGGTTTCTCAGATGTTAAAGAACCTTTAGAGTGGAGTCAGCTCTTAATCTATACTTCTACTGATCTTCTCTCTCTACTATTCTCTGTCTGAATCAGTGATGTGGGGTGTTTGCCTATTATACTCAAGGTAATTGGGGTGTGTCTAGATTAAGTCACCCCATACTTTTAGAGTTTCTGATTGGATCATAGAGACATTCTTTCTCTATGATTTATATCTACCAAAAAGTTGCTAATTAAGATATATTACAAACTTCAAAACTTGGGCTTAAAATTATATTCATAGTGTGTGAAAGGCCAATTCCAATTCACTAGGGTGAAGTTATAACACCAATTGAATGATAGATTGTATATTCAGGTTGACTATTCAAGCTGTCAAATCAATAAGATATTTAACAGGTGAAGGGGTATCGATGATATACAAATTCCAATGGTTAATAAGTTAATGTTATTGAACCTTAACACTACATTACACTACCAATCGACCCTTTATATCTAGATGTGTATAAGAGACAGGGTCCAAAAATTTATTAGAAATAATAAACTTCAGTAAAGCGTTCCTTTAAACCCTGTTTAAAACTTAAAGAATGGCTCTTCAATAGGATAACCTTAATTTTAACATCAATATTCAGAAAAAGGCTTTCGGGAATATTTAAACGCATCAATAGAATGAATAGAATAATATGATAATTAGGTAACCAATTTCCATTAAAAAAAACTTGGCACATAATATGATAATTAGGTAACCAATTTCCATTAAAAAAAACTTGGCACCAATGATTATTGTGGTGATAAAGATGATAATAGTGATCAGAATAGAGGGTGATGATTCACATGTAAGTGACTCACTGATGGAAAATGTCGCTGAAGTCCGGCTTCAGGGACATTTTCCAGTCGGAAACCCACTTGCCGAGTCTTTACAGCTTCAGGGACATTTCCAGTCGGAAACCCACTTGCCGAGTCTTTCCAGATCTGCCTGGAGCGCAATGGATGGTGATTTTATATATCTTGAGGTCATCAGCGAACATACGACAGCCGGAATTTTGGAAAATATTAGGTATTTCATTAACAATTTAAAGATGTTGAACAAAGGGGGGGGGGGGGCGGGGGCTAGAATGGAGCCTTGAGGAACTCCTGAGAGGACTGGGAGAGGGTTTGAAGTAGCACCTTCAAATACTACTCTCTCGAACCTATCGCTCAAGTAACTTTTAAACCAGGAAAGTTAAGTTACCGCTAATGCCAGATTGATGCAGTTAATAATAATATGGGACAGTTTCTATTGATTATTAAGTACTTTTCTACTCTCGTGTGGTAATATTTTTATCATTTTTGCACCCGTGTGTTCCCGAGTGGTCCCGTGTGTTCCGTGTGGTATTATAGTAGGACCCGTTTTAGTGACACCATACCAACATCGGGTAGGGGCAAACATGTTCGACAGGATCGACATACGAATCAAAGTGCCGGACATGATAAGCCTCGGTCAGGGTCCCGGCATACAATTTTCAGGCAGTTGACAGTTTTGTAGGACTTATATGGCCAAAAATGGTTTTAGGCCACGTTTTATTTAGAGATTGGCAATCAAATTTAGGCCGTACAGGCCGGCCTATATGGGCATATTAAGGAGTTTTCGATTTGCACGTCCACTATGTCAACTGATAACCTATGACGTAGTTTTGATGACTTGCGCATGCGTCAAGTCGACCAACACGACGACTGCCAAATTTGAGAACGTGTTCAGCAGCGTTTTGAAGTTCGCTCGGTGAATGGCTGAGATAACAAGTAGACGTATGACGTCATATCACTGCAAACTTTTGATTCATGATGGAGGATGATGTCGCGGTGCTTCTTAATTTGGCAAAATTATCTTCTACTGGGGATGTAAGTAAATAGCATTTCGGTTAAGTTATGTCCTATTTGCAAACTATAGAATTATCCATTATTGTGGATCAAATTTAGTGGATAATTAGGTTAATTAATCAGCCTATTTAGCTAGGCCAAGGAAGCCTATCCGTCCGAGCCTAAGCCTAGGCTAGGCTAGGTAGGTGGGATATGACTTCTTCGGCCGCCGACACATTCGGCCGCGCGAGATTTATATGGAGCGCCAGTTGGGCATTTCTCCACACCGCATGCTGTGGCGGCGTATGCCTAATTTTAAGCCTTTGCTAAACTAAATAATTTCTGTCTCATTGCTTTCATGTACAGTATTATTTACTTATTTATTTCAGGTATGTGGATTTCTATTGAAGCATTTGGCCTACTACTATTATATTAGTATTTCATTTATTGAATTATAATTACATTATAATTTTTATGCCATATTTAAATCAGAATGAGACAACACATTGTATTTACTCTTGTTTATTTCGTCTTCCTCTGTTTTATGCATGTCCATAATTTCGTTCATACTGTACAACTTCATGCAAAATATTTATCATATTTGGTCGTTTGGTAACATAACTGCATTTTGGCACTCTATCACTGATTTGTGATGACGGTTGACGATACAGATGCTTAGCAATTACCGTATTTGAAAAAAATACACTACAAAATGCATTTTTTACTGTATTTTTATTCATATTACGTCAGTTTTCTTCAATCCGTAATATAAATCAGAATGAGACACAACACATTGTTTTTACTCCTGTTTATTTTGTCTTCCTCTATTTTATGCATGTCCACAATTATATTCATACAACTTCATGCAAATTATTTATCATTTCGTCGTTTGTAACTTAACTGCTTGTTGGCACTATATCGCTGATTTGTGATGACGGTTGACGATAAAGATGCTTACTATAACAATTACCATATTTGAAAATAATAGACTACAAAACGCATTTTTTACTGTATTTTTATTCATATTTCGTCAGTTTTCTTTATCCACAAAATAGAATTTCGTCAAATAAAATTTAGAATGATACACGTGCACAAATTTCGTCCTTTATCCACAAAATAAAACATTTTTTAAATAATTTTATTTTTTTGTCTGTTGTCTGTTCATTTTATCTTTTCATACAAGATCGGATGTAAAATAACACATTAGCGAGTGTGATGAAAGTGTGTTATTTACAAGAGTTGGAAAAAGAAATGTAGAATAAATTTGTCAATAATTAGTCAATAAAAATTCTTTAGGAATATCTCTCTATTCTCATGCCCTTAATGTACATAAACTTTATATCATTAAAGCCAATCAATTATTACTCAATCAAATACTTAATTTATTGGTGATTTAAAATTCAGGTCTTTATATTTACATTACTGAATAGTAAACAAGTGCACATGTAAAAAATGAGATCTATAATCGATAACAAGCAATGATGTTTACCTTTAACAATTATTATCGTCAAAATGTTTAAAAATCTTGTAAATATGTTACTTGTGTTAACCATGGTGTAAGTGGCAGCGCAAAGTTTGCCATCTTTAATTTGTTACGATTTTTTCACATAATATAATTTTATCACTGAAATTTTAACACACTATTAATATTAATTTTTGTGACATGTTCTGTGTGTATAGGCCTATTTGTAACAATGTAAGCTTGAGTGTTTCTGAATTTGAGGTTAAGAATTGAATAGAATATATAATAGCGCTCATTCAACCATTGTATATCTGCGTGACAAACAATAGCGCGCATTCAACCGCCAATTGGCAAAGCACTCAAAGGGCGCTCCATACATTTTGGTGTTCGACATGGCGCGGCCGAAGGTGTCGGCGGCTGAAGTTGGCCTAAAGCGGCTAGGCGAGGCCGCCAGCCTTCAATCAGGCTGGGCATATCCAGGAAAAAGGAAATAATTTTTCAGTGATATCTGTTAAAAAAAAATAATCCTATATTGAACAAAGAAGGAGAGGTGCACCCTCAACAGGGGGATTTATGTTTTTACAACTCCCTGCCCTGAATACCCCGTGGATATACCATTGAGGGATTCGTGAAGTCGATGAAGATTTGCCATGTTGAGCTGTGTAGACTACAGTACCTGAGTGTTGAGTAAGATACCACGGCCAGTGTATTCGAATAGCATGCGCGAACACGGGGAAACCCCAGATCACAAGGTCATAAAGTTCACTGATGTGTCAACATGAACGTTCACTTAAATCGAAACGTTCAGATAACCAGTGGACAAGTACCAGTCGACTGCTTGGATTTTCCACTCACCGGACGTGAAAGCCGTCCACGTCCACTCAAATCGAAAAGTCCTTTGGGCCGCTGCCGACGACCTCGTCGTTACTTCGGAGGAGGGGAAGGTTCAAGCTGCACGGCGGAGGGGATGCCTGCCTTACCCCCACCCCCATATTAACATTACACTTAAGACAGAGGAGCCAATGGATCTCAGCACACCTTAGCACATCTTAGCATTAGTAGATTTGAAATAAGTGCCTAATTTTGTTAGTAATTAATATTAAACAGCCTAAATCACTCATGATGGCTTGGTGAATTGAAGTAGCAACAGGGACGCCCTTTTGATGATCTTTAACTAATTTTATCCGGTTTCACCTATATAATGCTGTTATTTAGTTCAAAGTAGTAGTGTGTGGCGCTTTTGTATGATGGTGGTGACGACAAAATTCTGCAAACTGGGTTCGACAAACCGGTGACGTGTTTTCGGTGAACTGGGTTCGGCATACTGAGTTTATTCACAAATTGGCTATGCTCAGTAAACCGGGTTTTGGCAAACTGGATTTTGACCAACTGGTTGGACACCTTCGCTCCCTGGTCTCACTTTTTTCAAAAGATTTTGAGCGACGCTAACCTACATCTACTTTGATTCATTTTGGAAATTGGACACCCATGGCAAACTTTGGAGCCACCCCTATATTACGCTAACACCATTTTTTAGTACTGTAGCTGCTGTTACAGCTTATTTTAACTTTGTTATTCAGCATCATTTCCATCATATGATTCCTGTTCAACCAACAACCAATGTATGGATGGATCAACATGCTACAACACCTACTACCAAGCATCATTAGCCCAACAATCAAAGCAGAATTCTTGTAAATGCGTAGCAGGTTACACAGGGCCGCTATGTCAATTCACTATAGGTACTGTATTGAAATATTATAATTTTCTTTTTGTAGGAGAACAAATGAAATTAACTCTATTTTGACTGATTTAAATTTTTATTCAAATTTGTTTTTTTTGTTTTTTCTTTTACAGTAAGTCGCCTATGTGAGTGACACATTCATCTAGAGTTAAATAATATGGCATTTCAAGAAAGCCACATGATAACATGTAGATATTCATTAATATAGATAATTATGATGATTTTTTTTTTTTTTTTTTTTTTTTTTTTTAAATAAATTCATTTGGATCCAAATATAGTTTGTATGAAATTTTTCATTTGTGTTGATCCAGCAAAATAAAAAAACAATAGTACTCACACTACGTTTTCGCGAACGATCCGTTCGCTTTCTCAAGTAGACTGGTGATGTTTTCGCCAGTCTGGTCTGATGTCACTTCGGTGTTGTTGAGGTCGAAGTGCATCGCTGCGTCGTAGACGAGCACCCCTCCCCCTCTTAGTGTTGTGGTTCAATATGATATCATCATAGATATGTGATAGAACAGATGTTCAAAAGAACACAGTAGGAATCCGAACAAGATCAGCAAGGTTGTCCGATTCCAAAATTTTAAATAAATCTGCAATCACCGATCATGCCACACAACTCAATCATATTCCAAATTGGGACATATAAATATTACAGAAAGAAAGCTCATGGTTTCAACGAAAAGTCAGAGAATCTTTATGGATCAGAAAAACAACAGATACTATGAACAGAGATGAAGGAGGACACATTCTATCACATATCTATGATGATATCATATTGAACCACAACACTAAGAGGGGGAGGGGGTGCTCGTCGACGACGCAGCGATGCACTTCGACCTCAACAACACTGAGGTGATGTCAGACCAGACTGGCGATAACATCACCAATCTACTTGAGAAAGCGAACGGATCGTTCGCGAAACGTAGTGTGAGTACTATTGTTTTTTATTTTGCTGGATCAAAACAAATGAAAAATTTCATACAAATTATGATGATGTGCTTAAATATTATTAATTTGCAGATGAAGTACCTAGCATGGACGTGTGTACTTTGGAGGCAACTACTAGCCCATGTCTTAACTCTGCAACTTGTAATAACATGTACCACAGCCAGTTATCGACCACTTTGAAGTACTGCACATGTACACGTAAATACACTGGATCACGATGTGAAACATTAGGTATGTTTTTAAATCACTTTTATCTTATTAAGTGATTTAGACACCCTCCTCACTCAAAAGTACTAGAATTAGTGTGCGACTGCAGATAATCATGTCGTGTCTGTCTTTATGGCTACGATCAGAGATAAGCTAGGCCCATCTAATTCAGGGCTTAATTTAATTCAGTTGTTCCCACAACCTGCGGTCTGCGAAAAGTGATTGGGGGTCTGCTAATTCAAAAGGGTCCGCAGAAAATTTGGGGTCCTCGAAAAATATTAGGGGTCTGATTTCTCATGATTATTATTATTATTATTACTGCTAATCATTAAGTGACTTTAACAAAATAACTTTGGCATAGGCATAGACTTCGTACAGTATGTAAATTGTTTTAACTGGCATTATATTTTAATTTCAATTTTGATTGCTAATTTGTAAAAGTGTTTTATATTTGTTTTTCTGTATGCTTTATGTAAAGATGTTTAGTTGTTTAACCACTTAATAGATGCGATTCTTGGGTAATGAACAACCTAAAATGTTACAAAATTAAATATAAATTGGGGAACAGAAAATTTCTTCACCATTTCCGGCCATCTAGAACTGCCATCGACATAAACATGTTGTACCTTAATTTAACCCCAACAATTGTGGGACTGAAGACATATCAATCACCTGACTTTCTGAAACTCCCCACCCCCTCACCCTGTATTTTGAAGTCCAGCCAGGTGTTCTTCGTGCGAAATAAAGAAATTCGTAATTGCACATTATTCCTGTTTACATCTAGGCGTAACTCGTGTCTGAAAATTAGCATTTATCTTTAAACTATGTATGCGTATGTTACAAACGCGCGAATAAATTTGACTAGTTGAAAACAGACTTTACGCTGCATTTGAGAATTTTCTTCCCTAAAAAAGTTTGAATGCACTGTTTAATGATCGAAGCTACTTGAATATTACCATTGTGTATTCTAATTAAGTCCCATGACCTGCATTTAACCAATCCAATTAATATAATATGTATAGGTAATGTGATGCTGTATAAGAACTGATTGTTATTGTTTATGTCATGAATAATTTCATAAAAAATCATCTACAGTCATCTCTCTGGGTGAAATGTTGAATAAAAAAAATATAAAAAGGAAAAAAAAAATACAGTCAAGCTCTTTTAAATGAAAATATAACCACTACTAGGCCTTGAATTTATTGTTGATTGTTTGAAATCCCTCCTGGGACACATGAGGAAATTAGCTAACATCCAGTCCACACTGGCCTGACTTGTGACGCCTCGTTACACAAAGAGAATGGAACTAAGTTATCGACAAACCCAAAATTTTCACTTAAAACGAGAATTTACAGTAGGTCTGGAACCTAATTTCTCGATGGTACCCTAATTTTCGTGACACTAGCAGTACTACCAACCAATATTACTGTAGTGTATTTCAAATGGTCAAACAAGACATGTGCGTATAATTGTAAGCCTCAAGTCTGGGCCAGACGCAGCTCAAGGCCCAAGGTTTGTCGGGGGGGGTGGTTGGTTGCAGATGTTGCGATCGCACCACCCTAAATTGCATTAAGAAAATAATTCTTGTATTGAATTGTTGATATCAACATAGTACCGGTAAAAAATGTTAAGGTATTGAGACAGAGTGCAATTTCCGGCCACCTAGACGTCCAAATTCTCAAAATGCTGAACAATCAGTGGTGGGCTGAGGTGGTGTGGGCTCTCACGCATATCACTACTGCCTCTAATGTATGTAATGTAAAATCATAAACTGTGTCTAATGTACAGTATATGTAATGTACACTAAAATCATAGACTGTGTGTAATGTAGATGTACATGTATGTATATGTTTTGATTCACTGCCTGCCGACGATAACAAGTAATAATATTTTTTTAGATTATTGTCTGATTTTTAAAATTAAAATGTAATTTTCCTTCTCTACAGTTTCAGATGTGCTTGTAGGTAAGTTAAATACAATTTATTCCTATTCATGTACGAATGTTGACGTGTACTTATTTGATGTTCTTGACTCTGCCAGCGATATATAGGGTAGAATACTCGGTCGTTCCTAAAGTACATGCATCCTGAGACACTTAGAATGATCATTTTTACCCACGCCCGCAAGCGCTAGTCGGTTTGTGTGGATAGTGAGGGTGTTTCTGTCCGTCTGTCTGTCTCAATGTGGTGTCTGTGTCCTTCTGGGCGCGTAACTCAAACCCCACTGGATCGATTTACTTCAAATGTTGACACATTGACAGAGTTATACATGTATCTTTAATAGTCTCCTCAAATTTAGTGCTGATCGGAAGTAAGATAGAGATTTCAGAATTTTATTCATATATTTTGCGGCCTCTACAGTGGACAGATCCAACTCCTTCTGCCTTGATTGGCTAGGTTGAGTGGGCTCGATCGGATTGACCGTGGGCCAGTCAGGGGTGAGTCAAATTTTGGCCGTCGGTCACCCCTTTGATGGGCTGGCCATGCCAGGCATGTGAAAGCAGTCCAGCCGGCGTGCAATTAAATGCCATAATTTCTTTCAGTATAGATATGACGCAACAGTATGACTATGAGGGTTTGTAATCTCAGATTATCTTGTTCATTATGTATTTGATATGTATATTATGCTTGTGATATCTATACTTTAATACGTTATTTTTATGTGCCTCTCTTCTACAGATCCTCCCATCGACATGACATTGTTTGTTAGGGGATCAATAGTAGGCCTCTACTACGCACCACAGTCTAAAGATCCACCAATTACAATGTACTTATCTGGCGTTTCTGAGCCCGACGTGGAACTTACTCTGGATGATACAGATTTTAGTGGAACATTGTTTGAAGGCGGTATAAGCAGAAGTGAAGTTAACAGTATATACACTCGATTCAGGATAGATATCCCCTCAAGTGCTCCACAAGCCCAACAAAGGGGACCTTGGCGCGGTCGGGTAGAGGTGGAAAATCATAGGGAAATCGACATAATTTCATTTTATCAGAGTATGACAGGTAAGCATAGTAGGGTGTCATTATAGTTACATAGCTGTATCTAACTGTTATAGATCCGTATGCGGACAGTCAATAGCACAAAATGTTATAAATTACTGTAGTAAAACGTTTATAATTCTTCTGCAACAACAATAGTAGCAACATCAACAACAATAATAGCAGTAGAATCATCGACAGCTGCAGCAGCAACCACATCACTGCAACTCCAATAGCAACAGCAACCAAACGCAATAGCAAAAGCAGAATCCAGTATAGAACATTTGCCAATAGCTGTCTGATGTCCATCAGGGCATTATTTAAACATTTGTCTTCAATCTTTCTCAAAAAGCCTACGTAATGCCAATCAATCCATACGTAGTCGCATCAGTTGGTGGATATGTTCAACTTCGGACGGATGCCAATGAAAACCAAGAACTCCGATGGAGTCACAATGGAGAGGAGATTCCACAAGCCAACGCTCTTGAAGTATTCACAATATTACGAGCCACTGTCGAAGATGACGGCATCTATGAATGTTACATAAATGGAAGACGCCCGCAAAAAGAACATGCTTTTTTCAAGCTGTCTATTAGAGGTGAGTAGGTCTACAGTATTGTGCATATCACAGGGGCTCTAACCCATCGTGTCCTCTATTAGCTAAAATAAAGTAATAATAATATCAGGGCGCACTCATTCTTAGAAGCATAATACATTAGCATAAGAGCCTGATATGAAAATTTGTATTATTAATATTATTCAATTATTAGTTCCTTTGTGACCTTGGTCACAGTGGAACTCTTGGGATGATACAGATGTGAAATGTGTGTGCGAGATGTATGGCCACAATATGTTGGTATGTTTGTAAACAAATAGGCTCCTAAACGGTGCTTTGCGGTGGGTATACAGCGTGTCCCATAGTTAATTGTGGACATGTAATTGTGTAAGAAATGTTTGTTTTTTCGGTTAAAAAATGTAAGCCATACGCAATAAAACATATACCCCCACCACCATTTTTTAGTCGTTTTTTTAGGGCAAATTTTGATTTGCGCATGCGTCAGAAGCAGTTTGCCGACATTTTGTTTTTATCGCGAGAACGTCAGCAGTAGACATAGAACAATATACCTCCATGTTCAAACTAATTACAAGTTTATGATGTATATTTAGCATCACTATGTTTTCACAATCGTATATGCTATTCAAATATGAGTATAAATTATGTAATATAGCCCACGAAATTAGGACAACTCCTGTATAAGGCAGTAGACACACGCTCCTGCTGGGAGCCTATTTTTTTTATTAAGATCTTTGCAAAAGTAGTGCTTCTGCGACCAGTCGGTAAAAATGTTGTTTTTGGTACTTCAAATTATTAAACAAAAGTCTACAGAAGTTATAAATAAGAGATGGGAATGGATGGGAGTCTTTCCAGATGGAAATGCTATTGAGCAAAATGTATGAGCTATCTGACGTTTTGAAGTGTTTTTCAAACAGGCAAATCCATATAGTGGTTAGAATAGATAATCGTCCAGAGAACATGGCTCATGACAAGAATGCGTGAATATTTACATAACAGCAAAATAGCAGATGCAATTAGTGGTGGTGGCTAGTGGTTCTTGTTGGCCATCGGCCGATTGAGATTAGCAGGGTGGCAGGATCATTGTATTTTTTCTTGAAAACTCGATGAGAATGTGCCAAGTCGAAAAAAGAAAAAGAGGAGTAGGACTAGGCATAGACAAATATGTAAAAGAGTAAAGTTGGAAATATACTGTCTGTCCAGGCATCGGAGCTCTCATTTGTCCAAGAGAAATATCCTCATTTTGATATTGACCTTGAAGAAAAATGTGATTCCACAATACAGCTCAAATCATGCCAACAACCCGGAGTTCCAGGATTATTTGAATTATTCAAATTAGAAGGGGCGCTTATTCAAATGGGGCTCTTATTTGCACGAGTACGGCAATTCAATTCATTAAATGACTACTAATATCCTATTCTGAAAATTTTATAAATGATAAATATGTGTATTGATTTAAAAATTACATAATGATGACTATGCAAGGGGCAAACGACTTGTTTTACCTTAGGATTAAGGAGGCTGTGAGTTTTACCCGTGGAGACTGCCTCCTCTCAATGTTTGAATGTTTTATTAGCTCACTCTCTGAGAGAGAGGGCTTATATGATGATTCTGAGCGAATTTTGAAGTCATTTGTTCTTCTATCTCTTCCTTTGTTTCTGGTGCGATTAGGCTGATCTTGCAATAATATGGAAGATAAGGCCTGGGGAATTTAAAGTATGAAGAGTTTTTATGAAAATATTGTCGGGAAATATGTGAAAAAGTATGTTTTTATATCATATTTCTACACTACAGTGGGTTTCCTATGAAAGCGTGTTCGTCGTTGATCAGATTGCAAATCGCCTGTATATTTGTATATTCCGCATTGTGTATCAACCAATCACGGCCTGGAATGCTAAGCTTTGCGGCTAATAAATGCGTCTGCACGAGTCTATAGTTGGAAGCGAAGAATGAGCCGTTTTGTGGTGCTTGCAAGGGTGGGTGGTCTCTCCTCTGAGAGATAAACAGTGTACACTACTGTAATGCAGGCTGGCCTAGAGTTAGAGGAAGACGAACTAGGTCTATAGGCTGGCTGGGTAGTACGTGTGTGTAATAGATCAGATAACAGGAAATGTAGGCTACAAGTTGCTTTTATGTGTATTACAAACCACATAATATTCAAATTAGTTAGTAGCTATGAGTGTATGTGTGCAGCACATTTCGTGTCAATGTACTGTAAATGCACGCTGGCCTGACGAAGACGAATAGGCTGGCTGGGTACGTACGTGTGTGTGTCTAGTCTAGATACTACAGGAAATAAATGTAGGGTTACAAGTTGCTTTTAAGTGTATTAAACCACACATTCAAATCAGTCAGTAGCGATGAGTGTATGTACAGCACATTTCGTGTTGCCGCACTGTGGTGTGGTTGATGACGAGGACGTTGCCGTTTAGATACATGATAGCAAGGTCCCACATGGATTTTTTGTTCTATTGAGACGGTAGCTTTTCAGCATTGCTCTAGGATGATTTTCCATTACATATAAATTTTTTAGCTTTTTGTACTCTACACTTGGCTATCCGTAGCCAACCACATAGGCCTAGGAATGTAATATATTAGATCAGATGTTAATTACATAAAATGTAGGCCGATAGTTGTATTTAATGGCCGGGGTGGAGTGGATTTCTTTTTTCTCGATTGACCATGGGATGGCTACTGTCATCGTTACCTAGACTTGTAGACGCCGTTGTCCATATGGTAATGATAAAGATGGTTCGTGTACTCACACTCACACCTTCTCTACAGTAGTTTACAATTATTTTTTTTGAACGAATACCACTTGGTACTAGTAGAGGTTCGTAAAATACAGTAGATGTAAACAAGCCTTTCCACCGTGTGACGTCGACGGCCTGAAACTGGTTGGCTGTTTATCTGGCTCTAAGTTGGCATCAAACGCAATTAGGGGATTATCGTATCATGTTTCAAGACGGGTATATCTAGATATAACCAGGCTATTGACTGATGAGGCATGATTAAATGTGCCTTTAATTTTCAATTGATTATATTCCATTCCAACCATGGTATAACCAGTCGATGGATAGCCCAGTATATGAGATATTTTGTTTAGATTTCACAGCGTGTTCCATGTACCTCCTCCATTTATTTAAAATTAAATTATTAAAACACTGCATATAAACTAGTAATGTACTAGTATATTATTTAATCTAGTAATGTATATATTTAAAAACATATTGGGCAAATATTCATACTACTTTACACTGTACAGGTGTCATTAAGAAATATTTTAAAAATTGAAAAAAGGGGTTAAAAATTCAAAGATAAAAGGGTTAAAAATTTTAAATAAACAGAAATGAGATAATGATTTAAGAACAGTAAAAAATAAGTTAACAGTTAATAAAAACATCAGTATTGAGATTTATCGGAACTAATAAAAAATATTAAAAAGGTCAAAAAAGCGGTTTAAAAAGTTGCAAAGAGAACTGTGGTACCAATAATGAAATTTTACTAAAAAAAAAAAACTGGTATCATAATTAAAGTTAAATTTTGAGAAAAAAAATAGATTTAAAAAGGAGCAGATGAAAAAACAAGAAGTTGATATCGACCAGGATAGCCCAAGAAAACCAATTACATAGGTTTATTTCCCTTGGGTTCCTGAAAAAAATAGTAATAAAATATTATAATAGACAAGGTTTTATGACATAACTTCTTTCGTTATAACTCTCTCTAATTCGATAAGTAGTCTTTTACCATTTTTCTAAATGATGAAAGGCTGTCGGAGCTCTTTATTTTACTTGGAAGTTTGTTCCATTCATGGATGATGGTAGCATAAAATGTGCCATCAATAACTTTAGATGCTTTCGGTGGGATAAAGTTTAAATCGCTTTGACGTGTACCATGACTGTGCTGGTCACTTACTTTAGCTAAGTGGCTATTTAGGTACGATGGAGCAGAATTATTTAATATCTTATGCAATGTGTTTAATTTAATTTGTGTTACTCTATCTTTGACATTTAGTAATCCAAGTTTATTTTAACTCTTTCTGCCCAACATGGCTTCAAGGTCCTTTGTTCGTTATATACCTAACCATATACTGTATATGTATATATATGTATGTATATGTATGCATATATATACTGTATATGTATATATATTTATATATGTATGTATGTATATATGTATATGTGTATATATGTATGTATATAATGTATGTATGAATGTATATATGTATATGTATGTATGTATATATGTACATATATGATGTATGTATATAAATATCTTCATAATTACAGTACAAAATATTTCAAAAAGTTACGTACAACACAACAAACCTTACAACAACCATATTTCCTTTAATATCACTGTACACAACATCACACCTTTCCTAACTGTTAAGTGAACATAACAAAAAAGGTCTATGATGATGCATACAATACAACTACTATAACTTTAAACGTTTTTCTTTATGCTCAATACACATAACAACACTCCACACAACCTCCACCCACTGACAGCACTTAAACATTGCCAGCCATTGTCAAGTGGGCTATTGCATCATTGATGCTCTCGTTTATGTTATGTCGCCTTTTCCACGAATCTACGGTGGCTACGCCCTATTACGGTGTTCTAACAGCCTAATTAGGGTGTTACAACGCCCTAATACGGCGTTCTCATGCCCTATTACGGCGTAATAACACCCTAATTAGGCCGTTATAATGCCCTAATTTTGAAGTATATTTGGTAGCTGCTTTGACGGCTGGGCCATTCTCTAGTTTTATATATTACTGTAGTATGGAATGCCATTGTACTCCAGCGGACTCAATTTGGAGCCACTTAAAATCAGGCTCCGGAAGGAAAAATGGACATGTTCTACAAGTTTACAACTGATTTTCTTTAAATACAAAAAGCAGATTTTTGAACATTTGAAAACTGGGGGCTACGCCCCAATATTTTCCTCCCTATTTTGGGGGAAGGGGAGCCCCAATTTGTTCCTCCCTTTGTTTGGGGGGGGGGAGGGGAATCTTGTCTATATTAATACCTCTGCTCTTGTGGACCCAATGTAAGATACAGTACCTGCAGTGCTGATTGGGGGAATGGCTGATTAAATGAGGGGGCCGCTTAGGGTTGCAAAATAAAATGATATATAATTACTACTAAGGTGATGTGATTGGTTTCGATTAACGTAAATGCTCGAATAAGCGCTGTGGTGATTAAACATTTTTTTGGAGGCTACAGTTTTGGAGGCGCTTATTTAAGAGCGGAGCTTATAAAAAATATTGGCGTGAAGCTTTCCATATGCCCGTTTCCGTTGCCTATCTCACGTATTCCCATAGTTCAATAGGCCTATCAGGTCCTATGTCATCGTAAATAAACGTTTGTAAAGAAATGCTTGTGTCTTCATTTTTGTGTTATTTATTCATTTTAACACTGCATACATTGTATTTAAACCCTGTTTCTCAAAGTCTTTGTTTACGCACGGTAATAATAATGCTTGATTACCCAGCACTTATTATTATTACTATTATTTTTACTATTATTATTATTATTATTATTATTGTTTGAAGGTTTGCATGGTGAAGTTATAATATATTAATGCTTGCGGTACACCACATAGATAGCTGAAAAGAACTGTTGTTGGTTGAGAATGTTTACTGTTGGCAGAAATAAGCCACCGTACGAATCGGTAGACATTCGAAATGACAGCCCAAAGTCTGTGGTGCGTAACCAACAAAAATTAGATAAGCTTTGAGGCTAACTTCTTGACCATGTTTTTGGAAAATTCATAACTCCATAATGGAGTTTCGTATGCTGATATTTTTTTTTTTGAAAATGTTTTTATTCTACACTACTTACTATGTGGTTTAAAATAGTTAAATTTTTTTTCCTCAAAAAAAAAAACAACAAAAACAAATCCCCCAAAAAATTTGAATACTAGGTACCATGACTGTACATCTAGGCCTACTTAAGTTACAATACTGTTTTGCTAACAAGGCTTAGGAAGGATCAGGATTTCTGCCATCCAGCCTAGGAGCAAGTGTGTGTGTGTTTACAACTACCATAATGGTTCTTCTTTGTTCTTCGATGTGTGGGTTCTGTTGTAGATATAAAGAGTACAAGTATTTAAATTTGTTCCGTTTAAAATCAGAAAAGACGACGACGACAACGGCAGTAGGTCAGACACTTTGTCAATTCTTACTATAATACGATAACTAAAATTTGGTAAACTCTGATTAGTTTCAAATTTAGTAGAATACAATTAATGACTTTGGTGACTTAATTATCACAATTCCCAAATTTGCTTTTTTTTTGCGAGACAAGAAACGTACACGACAGCAGGGCTCTGGTTATAAAGTTTTACAATTATTATAGTTCTAAACTAGATAGAAATTGTAATTCAAGTCAATCATCTTTCTTTCTTAGTTAGCCAAGGCTTAGACTAACCAGCCTACACCTAGATATGTTAATTATTTGTACTAACAATATTATTATCATTTATAATAATTTTACAACAAAAACAGAATGCCCAACAGGATTATGTGGTATGCCAAATTGCTGGATGGACTGTCCACACTGTATGAACGGGGCAGTGTGCGAGCCTTATTCTTGTTCATGTATATGTCCAGCCGGCTACATTGGTGATCTATGTGAGACAGGTGCGTATATTCTTTAAATCAGACATCAACCCTGTCCTACACAATAGATCTTTCTAAAGTGACAAAGCAAACCGACTAATCCAAACGTTTACGCTGTTTAAGGTGGCACACCTTAGCAACAAATGCAAGGGACGTGGTTTAGCGGGAATTTGGATGATTGTACAATGAATATTCTGATTTTTGTAGTAAATCTCCGTAAATCAGCTAAATTTATTTTGTTTGATCTGTTAATAACGTGTGAGTTATTCAATTTTTACCGTTGTATTCCATTTTCGGCAGACAGCGCATATTTAAGAAATAACAATCCATAAAAGTAGAAATGATAGAACAAGAATGATGATTGTTTATATATGACATATAGATTATTATTATTATTATTATTATTTAATTTTTAAATGTTTCAGCCCACTCTACAAGTGATTTTGGACAGAGTGGCACCATGGCGTGCAGTACTGGTGTTGACAAGTGCATAGGTAACCGATTCTGTCGACCTCAACCATTTGGGTGTACTTGTGCAGGAGGTTTTTCCGGAATCGACTGTAGGACAAGTAAGTTTTTATGCACACTCAATTTATTTAATAATTAATTTTGTTATCTATTTATAAAAATCAAACAAACTTTACCGATTTGCTTTATATAGGAACTAATTTATTTGTGTGCAGGGATGTAGTTATGGTGGGCAGGGCTACCCAACCTTGAAGTGTCGATCATCCACCCTTAGTTTTCTACAGCTACAACCCTGGTGTGGTATTCTTATTTTCAAATTTGGATTATTTATTGATAGCTAGTAATTTATTCTTATTATTTCAATATTATGCAAATATAATGGTGAATTTTTATTGGTCAATTTTATGAGCTCACCACAGACAGAATCATCTAAAAGTGCATTCTCAATCATTGCACTTACTACTGCTACCACTACCACTAAGATTACAACTACCACTACCACCACTACTACTACCACCACTACTACTACTACTACTACTACTACTACTACTACTACTACTACAACTACCACTACTACAACTACTACTACCACCACCACCACCAACAATAACACCCTTGCAGCTCTATGTTTGATACTTCTCACTGTCGTTAAATTGCATTTTTGTTTTAAAACCAACAACTGAAAGTGTACAGCTAGTGGTACTGTAGATTTAAAGCAGTCTTCACATGGACAGGGTTTAAAGCAGCCTTCAGGCATTGGTGGCGCCAGGGGGTGGATGGAGGGCTAAGCCCCTCTGCGGGGAAGCCTAGCCCCCCCCACCCCGTCGAGGAAGATGAATACATTCCATCGAGGAATAAAAACATAGAAAAATATTTTTACATGTCGTTTAGCAACCATATCGCCTTCATTGACCTATTTGTGTACCGTTTGTCTTTTCATCACATTAATAATAAAAACAACAACAAATGATATAATGTAAATTCACTTGCCGTTTTATTGTAAGTTATCCGACTGCTGTATATATTACTTTTCACATTGAATTAAGCCCATGAAACAACATATAAACTTCTTGAATTAATTACGTTCAAACATCTATTGGAACGCAAGTCAGCAGAACAGTGTCAAGAGTCAGAACAGCATTTGACGCTATTTTTCAAAATGTCAGTGTATATTAATGTTATGTATTGAAATTTAAAAAAAACACAAATGCCCCTTCCCTAGTTTCAAAAATTCTGGATCCGCCCCTGTTCAATGGGACTAATTAAAAATGGTTTACATTCTACTATAACAAATGCTTGTTTGGATATCCTCATGATGCTTGGAATACATCTTGATCGGGGAGCAACCTCGTGGTTTACAGATTTCAGGCAAAATTTTCAAAATTTCTAACTTCACTTTGAATTAAAAGCTCGTATTGTGACATTCCCGGTGACATTGCGTTTACTTAATTCATCGTACTATAGTATTGTCACAAATTGGTGGCCTTATAATTTACAGTAAGACATTAATGTTATTTGTAACTTAGTTGGTAATAATTCACAATTACATGGATTAGGAAAAACTTGGATTTCGCAATAATGGGGGGATAGTATTGTAATGTAATACGTTGTTTTTTTTAAATAATATAAACTGTAAAACGGATTTGAAAATAAGTTAGTTGGTTTAACATTGCATACTCTTTGTTTCTCGTTTTAATAAAAATAAAAAAAAATTGGTTTTGGAACTTCCACATTAAAAAACATACATGAAGTCATTACGGTAGCCTGAGGCCTATCAAATAACCAATACAAATTTACCAAAATTTGTTAAATATCCGTAGCTTTCAGGGGGACCCCTGTGGCCCCTAGGCGGCTTCCCCCTAGCCAAGTGAGGCTCGCTTCGCTCGCCCCGTCGGGGCCTTTAGCACCCCTGTTGGGCAGATCACTGCCTTCAGGTGGCCCTCCCTGCAAGTAACCCTACCACCTATGTGAAATAATCTAAGAACTCTAAAAAAAAAATACCTGCAACTGTAAATCAATTATGATTTACAATGTATATGCCAGAAAAAGAAGCTTGTAGTAAAGCATTTACTATACCACCTCTTTTTAAAGGGTGTTCTGCAGGAACATATGGCCCTGATTGCAAGTTAGTTTGTTCGTGTCCGGATGATGAGTGCAATTATCATAGTGGTTGCAGCTCAAGTAGTTGCAGTTATGGAATGACTGGCGATACTTGTACAGGTAATATAGCAATACAAATAATTATAGTAACAATAATATAAATAATAATAATAATAATAATATAACAATATAGAAAATATATATAATATATAATAAAATAATATATATAGAAATAATAAGCTCAAAAAATGCCTAAAAATCCAATTTTTTTTTTCCCTTTAGATCAACAATTTAATGTCTTATTATTCATGTCCCAAAGTATTAGTTCTGGAAGTGGTCAACAAGTCATTTATTTTATGTTATTAATTTGATAGTTAATTCTATTAAACAATTTATGCACAAATTACTTTGGAAGGCAATTACTCAAAATCATGTTAATCTTGACTCTAAGAGTGCTGTACTTTCACTTTACAATAATGTAGACCTGAAATGACCAATTTCAATGATTGACCCCTAATTTTAAAGATCACATACTCAGGTATCTGAAAATACCAGTAACTTGAATTTCAATTTTTGCTACAACTTAGCCATTTTGCTACAACATGCCTCATATATCTCTTTTTAAATCAATTTTTTATTTGGTCAAATACAGGACTATTTGAAAAATGGTTTTGAAATGTTATCCTGTATGTTTTAAATAAAAAATAAAATAAAAAAAATAATAAATATATTAATCTACTTATACTCATTTATACTGCACTTTTTCCAACAGATCATACCATATGTTTTTTTGTTTTGTTTTTTAACTCAAATAATATAATTTATCATACCGTAAATTTGCTTACAGAGTATTTACCATATACGCAGTGCCCAACTGGCTACTACGGAGACCAGTGTCAATATGAATGCAATTGTGACTCATCTTTCACGTGTGATAAGTGGTCTGGAGAGTGTGTTGTACCAGGTACAAACTATGTCATAGAAATCCTCTAAGATTACACTGCCTCTGGTTATTCTAAAAACTCTCAAAAAATGTAATTACTCATTTAAAATGATCAAATCAATTTCCAATGAAACAAGATCAAACAGTTCAGTCTTTACTGATCTGTAGTTGGTTTGGCCAAAGAGTATAGAATTGCAGTCCTATACTCTTTGGTGTGATATGAAGTCTGAAAAGTGTAAAAGATCAGATACAGGATATTTTCATGTATATACACTCATTTCTCTGTGCATTTAGACCCTTAAGTTCACAGAATCTATGACTTTGACTAGAAGTTATAGTGTTTTTCACTGGCATTTTGCAGATCGAAGAGACTCAAATACTTAATCTATCCGAACATATCGTCACCGGCACCACAAAGAGACAAAGTTCAAAAATCATATTTTTTCATTTTTTTTTAATTTGGTATATTGATTATGTACATCAAATTTTATCTTTTCGCCTAATTATTAAGAGTGCAACTACACTAATTAGCTAATTACGCTAATTGACCTTTCCGCTAAGCCCCGCCCCTTGGATATTGTTGCTAAGGTCCCACAAAACGACAGCGTTACAACATACGCGAACACGTGCGTTTGTGGTACAACACCTGTTCTGATTAGTAAATTTGATTGACACTCCGGAAAGGTCTATTGGCAGTAGCGCACAAACCGTGAAAATGGATTTTTAGTTTTCACAAACAGACACAAAATTTCCTTGCAATTGTTGTGATCGCTTGTTTAGGGTTGGATGTAAATATTAGATTTCCCCAGCTTACCTAGGCATAGCGATACCCTTCTTGCACTGTAAGTTGGAATAGATCATGCACATCAAATGTGGAATTATTAGTAAAAACATGATGGTTCGAGCAGGATAAGCCAAGTTTGAGAATCGAATGACTGGACTCTGATAAGTGATAAAGTTTCTTCATTAGCGGAAAGAGAATTAGGCTGCTGCATACGTCTGGATTTACTTAGCAACGAAAAGTCGCCAAGTATAGATAAGCTTGCATTTAATAAAAAGCAATTTCCACCTCATTTTTGCTATGTGAGTGCTCTATCTTGTGTTTCAAGTATCTTTGCTAAAATACAGTTTGTGCAAGTTTGTGCCTTAACAACGGAGCGCGTACTATTTTCACGAAGAGACACGAAGCTCACTCTACGTGTAAAAAACATATGCTGTATTTAATCTTATTGTTTTCACGAACAGACACAAACTTTTCATTGTAATTCACATGTTAATCAAAGTTCAGAAAAGAAAATTAAATTGAACATTTTGAATTGTTTAATTCTTTATCTTTAAACATACTGTATGTAAAAAAAAATCAAAAATTTGTGATATAATCAACTTCAAACGTGTTTTTCTCAAAACGTTTTCATCGAAATTGAAGTTTGTGTATCTTGGATAAAACGGTGACAATATGCAGTGGCTAATTGTGCCTAACACTTCTTTAAAAACCAAATTTTTTTTATAGGCCATTAACAATTGGACCATTAGCAAACCATTCTGGTAATATTTTGTTTCAAAGAAAATTTCTAGGCATTTTAACCAATACTATTCAACAACATGTTCCTTACAGCAGAAACACTTTTTTTTTGTCATAGCTACTGTTATATGTATTACATCAGGTACAACCAGTTGCCGATTTGTAATTTGAAAGCCAATTATTGTCAGTTATGGCACCAGCAAAGGGCCTTTGGGCACAGGACCTATCGCCGAAAAAAACCCTTTGGTCTTTTTACCGCAAACGCGCCGCTCTGAAAATCACCCTTTCTCTTAACCATTAGCGCTCATTCAAAAACATCAAAAAAAAAATGTAACTCAAAAACTAGAGGTCGGATGAATAAGGCTGAAACGGTTTATAGAAGGTTATAAATATAGCTATAGCTAACAATTTACAAAAAAATAAAAAATAAAAATGTTTTGGAATATTTGGCCCCGTCATTTTTTGGGTTGCATTATGAAAATATAGGCGATGTTTTTCAGCGGGATTTGAGTTGGCTTATGAGGAGTCGTATTTTTTACAACGTCATAACTTTGCCTACACAATAATCCGATTGCTTATGTTGAAGCGGCAACAGAAAGAACATTCGTTTGGATCACTTATATATAAAAATTAATTTAATTGGATTTCTTCCGTCATATTTTAGTTCTATCAAATGTATTAAAGAACAAAGGCTGAAAGCTGGTCCGGGGAATTGGCGTGTTCCATTTTCTAAACTGAAGAAAATAATGGTAACTGCATTATCAAAGACTTGTTAAAATTCATTAAATCAATATGCTTAATAGTGGACACATCTTATTTCTACAGCGTTATGCATGAATTTCATGTATTTTTAACAGTGTTTCACTAATGATTGATCGCTTATTAAGAGTTATTTTTATATACCCTTTTCAGATAAGAAATCTCCCAAAATCTGCGCTGTGCAGCGCGATCAATCTGTTCATTTTTGTTTTCTTATTATTATTATTATTATTATTATTATTATTATTATTATTATTAGATGATATCATTGACGTGGTGATTGTACTTGACCCACCATACATCAATATGTCAAGTGAGCCTCAAGTAATATTGAAATTCTACTCTCTCGGTGACACACAAACTGAAGACATGGAAATTAGTTACTTGTCATATGACTCTGTGCAGTTGCAATACAATGATCCTGGGGAAGGACCATTCGCAAGCGATTCCACTTTTACGTATACCACAGATGCAGACTCAGTTGGCATAAAAATTACAATTGGAGCTTCCAGTTCTGCTGCTCAAAGAGTTGGTCCATTCTTGGGTACAGCTACCTACAATGGATCTACGACAACTTCAACAGCATGGTTTCAGCCTAACGATGGTGAGTGTAAATTCACATTTATGTTTTATTTTAAAAAAAACGGATCACAATATATCTTGTATACTATAATTGACAACCATCAATCAATCAATCTGTCAAATAAAATAACTTGTACACTGCCAAATTCTATCAAGTAACATTTGGCGGGTCAATAATATATCATAGTAAACCAAATTGTAAATTTCATGTATAATTACATCATTTTTTGGGGTATTATTAAACAGCAATATTCACTGAAAATTATGTAGTATTTTTTGATCATTATAGTGAATTTTAAGAACAGGGGCAGATCAAGACTTTTTCAAACAGGGAGGGGGTATAACATTTTCACAATAGATAAGTGAGTAGCACTTATTTCAATGCATAACATTGATATGCATTGAAATCTTAAAAGTATAGAGGAAGTGGGTTTTATAATACTGGAGCTGCGCAGTAAACTGCCATCATATTGACTTTCCGGAGTGTCTCACAAATGATTGTGTTTGCGCATGTTTTAAGATTGTCCTTTGGTTGGGCCTTAGCAACAATAAAGAGCTTTCGATTTGTGCGATGACGCGACGCTAGAACGGAATCACTCATGCTTGACCGTCTTACCTGGCATCCTACATTCTCTGCATACGTAGATTTGGCCAACATGCGTTCCAGATTCTACTCAACGGGGTGACCTTAACATTCTCGCATGCGCAGATGACTTTTAGTGACGTCATTACGTCCTACCGTCGTCGTGTAATCGAAAGCTCCCTACTATCCAAGAGGCTGGGCCTAGTGGAAAGGTACATTTTGCACAGTATCTAATCCCATTCTGTTCATCCATACCAACAAACAATGTCTAGAAGTTGCATAACTAAAAACTCATTACGAACATTAATATTCTGCGCAGTCCTTTTTCATTTGCAATTACCTACCAACTAGTGTTCGATTTTTTAATTGTAGTTTAAGAAAAAGTTATTTGAATAGTTTCATCTGGTTTGCTTATTTTGATTGTAGAAGTTCTGTTTCATCGATAATCAACTAAGCACAATTGAAATGAACTTACATAGTCTGCCGATAGCCTGACGATGTTTGCAGTAGATTTACATCAAATTATTCTAGGTTTAAAATAATAATAATAATAATAACTAGCATATACTTACATATATATATGTAAGTGCATGTATAGAAATATACAGTAGGCCTAGCCTTTGGGCATGAGAGAAGTGTTTGTCTTGAATCAAGGTGGTTACATGTATAGGCTTATCTGAACTACTGACATTCAAAAGAACCCGTAAACATTGTCCCGACATGTTTACGTAAATTCAAGGTATTGATTGGTAGAGCTGGCTTGACCCTATCTATCTTAATAAAATAAAAGTTCTTTTTAAGTTACATTTTGATACATCTTTAAATTTACACATTTTATTAGTTCCTTTGTGACCTTTGGTCACATTGAACTAAGGTAATGGTTCACATGTAAAATGTGTTTATGAGATGTGCAACCAAAAGAGGTCAGCATATTTGTAAACAAATAGGCTCCGAAACAGTGCATCGCGGCAGGTATACATTGTGCTCGATAGTTGCTGGTGGACATGCAATTGTGCAAGAAATGTTTGTTTTTTCGGTTAGATGAAAAATGTAAGCTGTAGGCGATAAAACATATACCCCTACCACCAGTTTTGAGTCGTTTTTTAGTCGAAAATTTGATTTGCGCATGTGTCGGGTCAAACTTTCCTGACATTTTGTTTCTGTCGCGAGCTGCCTAGAAAAGTTCTTTATGTTGTTTTCGCGACTGTCAGTAAACATTGAGCAAGCTGAGATAGTTGTGGCATATCGGCCACTTACTATTATTTGAAGGTGTTCTGTGTGTTCTATATAGTGTTTTAGTATACTTTAACGGCTAAGATTGACGGACCTGGTGTACCTAGGCCTAGACACATACGTAATGTAGGCTTCTCTTTGGGGCGACACCGTCGGACCTGGTGTAGACCTAGACACATCTGATACACTATACCGTTACGTAAAGTTCTTAGCCTACCACCAGCCTACCGTCAAGGGCGCTAATGCACTTTCGCACCTAACTTTTAATTCTTAATTTTTTTACCTTAAAAGAGAACTAGCAAAATGATTTTTTGTTCTAGAGGGGAATTTTAATATGCCATTAATAATAGAATAAACCTTAAAATCGTTTTTTGGCAATTTCTTATGAAGTTATAGGCCATTATATACTATTTAATCGTGACGTCACTGGCGAAAAATGTAACAAAAGATCGTGCAAATAAAACCGCGTAGGGTATCCGCCGCGTACGATCTTTGCGTGCATGCTGTAACCATGGTTGTAAATCATTTGTTGACAACGGCTTATGCAGTAATAGGCCTATGACTTGATATGCAAGTTACAACAACCATGGTTACAGCATGCGCGCAAAGATCGTACGCGATGGATACCCTACGCGGCGCCATATACACAATCTTTTGTTACTATTTTCGCCAGTGACGTCACGGTGAAATCGTATATAATGGCCTGTAACTTCATAAACAATTGCCAAATAACGATTTTAATGTTGATTCTATTATTAATGGCATATCAAAAATCTCCTCTAAAACAAAAAATCATTTTGCTAGTTCTCTTTTAATTTTCTACTCACAGTCACAACACATTATTATAAAACATTTTTACATGATTCAACCACTCATAAAGTACATTTTTTTCAACAAAAAGATACCTTTAATATAGGTTGATAGAGGGTTTACACGCTTGCTAGCACGACAAGCTGTATTTTTTTGCAAAAATATTCGAGTCAATTCTTACATTTTGAAACCATTAAATTTTCCTATGAAACATCCGAAAACAAAATGTGGCATCATGCAGTACCATCTTTCTGAACTTTCTTGTCGTAATCGAGGTTAATCGAACCGACGTTTATCATTGGCTTTGTTTTTCTGGATTTAGGCCTAGGCCCTTAAGGCCCTATTTTTCGATCTGTGTAAGCATTTGGATCATTACTAATTTTGAAGTAATTATTGTATGTGTGAATTTCATGTGAACGCACATAGTCAAACAACAGCACCATAAAATATAAAGAATGACATACAAACGGCAAATAGATAAGTTTTCATAAATGTTTAATCAAAAAACATCACGCTGCAAACTCAGACATTCTGGCATTCTTACTGATTGCAAAATGGCAGCCACTCGTCGTGCTAGCGAACACAGATTCACTGTACAGTACTTATTTGTGGGCTTTAATTTGTTGAAAAAGGTACTTTGTGAGTGGTTAAATCATGTTAACATGTTTGTTAATTATATGTTGTGACTGTGAGAAGAACGTTGAGGTAAAAATATTAAGAATTTAAAGTTCTGGCAATTTCTTACTAAAGTTTCTTCATGATTTTAAAGGGGGCGGGAGAATTTGTATGAGGCTTTAGGATGGGCGCCAGACATCTAGAGTGGGCGGCACCGCCCACCTCCGCCCTGCATAATGACATCCCTGCACTTCTCAGAACCCCTTCCCCCCCCTCCCCTTTCATAAATTTCTGGATCCGCCTCTGATTTTTTTGACTGTGAGAAGAACGTTGAGGTAAAAATATTAAGAATTTAAAGTTCTGGCAATTTCTTACTAATTGCAAAATGGCAGCCACTCGTCGTGCTAGCGAACACAGATTCGCTGTACAGTACTTATTTGTTGGCTTTAATTTGTTGAAAAAGGTGCTTTGTGAGTGGTTAAATCATGTGAACATGTTTGTTAATTATATGTTGTGACTGTGAGAAGAACGTTGAGGTAAAAAAATTAAGAATTTAAAGTTAGGTGCGAAAGTTCATTAGCACCGCGTCAAGCAATAAAAATCAACATTTGTGGAATTATTTTCCAAGAAATGATGGTTAAAAATTCTGGACACATAAATATGCAGCATGTGATGGACGGACGAACCTAAGGGTTGCCGGGGGCAGCATGTGATGGACGGACGAACCTAAGGGTTGGCCGGGGGGTACAGGAGTTCATCAAATGATGTTTGGGAAAATAATGGTTAGAAAATACAGCATCTGATGGACAGTCCCGGGTGGGGGGAGAACCTTAAAATTATGGACACATAAATTTTCAGCATGTGATGGATTGACCGTCTATACACATATACAGCATGTGATGGAAGCATGTGATAGACGGACGAACGTATGCCTTTCTTCAATTAATTTCCAGTAAAATAATTACCGTATTACAACTTCAAGAAAACTCGTATTTTTATTGCATAAATTAATTTCACAAGCTTTTATTCTGAAATATAGCGTATCAATATTCTTTCTATAACGGTACAAGCCACCGGAAACCAGATGTCGAACAGAAAGTTTAACAGCCCACGTGTGTTTTGTTGCGAAATCATAAATGAAGCTGCTCACGTGACCTCTAGGACCACACTCCCGAAAAGAAGTTTATTTATTGTTTTGAGCGAAGCGATTTCGAATAAAACGTGTTTCCAAAATTGTTTGAGTGAACGTAACTATGAAAATATTATTTAAACAACCCAAACCATTGCTTGATTGTCATAGAAAATGTAGTAGGAATCACAGTACAACACTGTATAGTGAGTATAATTACAAATACTAGCCCTTCAAAGCCTAGGCTAATTAATTGGGCTAGGAGCATGGGCCCAAGCTAGACAGATGGCGCCTGATTTCTGCGGTTCGCCATCTGAACTTTTTGGGAGTAGGTTAACGACCGGTGTATAGGCCGCACCCCAAACTTCGAGGGGAAAATCGCGTATAACATTTGCGGCTTATTCACCGGAAATGACGGTTTATGGAGCAAAAACTTGTGTTTCTTCATGATTTTAAAGGGGGCGGGAGAATTTGTATGAGGCTTTAGGATGGGCGCCAGACATCTAGAGTGGGCGGCACCGCCCACCTCCGTCCTGCATAATGACATCCCTGCACTTCTCAGAACCCCTTCCCCCCCTCCCCTTTCATAAATTTCTGGATCCGCCTCTGATTTTTTTGACTGAAAATGAAAATACTGTATTACCTTACACAATCATTATTCAAAAATATACAATAAGTTATTGTAATTCACAAATATACATTGATTTTTTACGTACAAAGGAATGTACTCACCTGCAGGGTTCTGGTTATTATTATTGTTGTTGTTGCTGTTGCTATTGCTATTGCTTATGTTGTTTTGACGTTATTGAAGTTGTTGTCACCAACGTTATCAACATCGATATCATTATCATCAGACTTTTTCACAATTAAATAGTAATAAATAATAATATAAATAATATATTTTTATTTTTTAATCTAGCTGAAATTAGTCCTGTTCATGATATTGTGCGAGTTTCCTTTGGTGGATTCGCCCGATTGGCCACTAATGCCAAAGAAGCCAGTGATTTACGCTGGAAATTGAATGGAAAAGCCCTGCATTGGGCAGATGGATTACCAGTCTTAACAATTACAAAAGCTTATGTTGAAGAGTCTGGCATATACGAATGTTACAGGGACAGAGACTATGACCTGTCTCTTATA